TGGAAAACAGTATGGAAGTTCTTGAAAAAAATAAAAATAGAATTAGCATATGATCCAGAAATTCCACTTTTAAGCATATGCTCAAAAGAATTGAAAGTAAGGTCTTTATGCTGAGTTAAATAAACTAATCACAAGAAGACAAATACTGTATGATTCCACTTATATGAGGTATTTTGAGTAGGCAAATAGAATTGTGGTTGTAGGGGGTAGAATGATGGTTGTAGAGGGTTAGGGGTTGGGGCAATGGGGAGTTAGTGTTAATGGATATAGAGTTTAATTTTTACAAGATGAAGAGTTATGGAGATGGACGTTGGTGATGGTTTCACAACATTATGTTTAATGCTACTAAACTGTACACTTAAAAATGGTTAAGATAGTAGATTTCATGTTATGTGTATTTGCATTAATAAAAAATATTGGGAAAAAAGTCAGTCATGTTTCAAAATATACTCAAGAAATGTTTTCTTCAAAAGATCTGAGCAACTGAGTGTGTTAAGGTGCCACACGCCGTTCTAATGCTCTCTGCACCTCTCCATTCTGGATCCGCCTCTGCCTTCCACTTCACTGTGCTTCTGCCTTTGTGGTACTAGTGCCAGTGGCCTTCTGAGTAGCTCCCAAGAAGAAAACAGCTGTTTATCACAACAAGGGAAAAACTGGAAACTATCAACTTGAAGTAGAGAAGGTAGGAGTAGGAACTGGTTATTGTAATAGTGTTTTTAAATCTGAGAACTCTTTGTCAACTAAGGAGGATTCATAGAGAAAGAGTAAAATATCTGGGAAACTGGTCTCTGAGAAAGAAATTTGTTCAGTGGAGGGTGTAGGTGAGATGGGTTCAGCTGAGACTACTGCCGTCCCTTAGGATCCAACCTCTCCTTCTTCTTTAGAAATAGGACCTTTAGTTTTTAGTGTGGCATATGGTCCTCTGGCTCAAAGGCTACATTTCCCAGTCTCCCTTGCAACTGCATGTGGCAATGTGACTTAAGTTTTGTCCAATGGGTTGTAAGTGGAACTGCCATGTAAAATTGATGGTAAAAGTCCTTAAAGGACATAGCTATGCACCATCAGACCTTTCCTTTTTCATCCTACAGTGGAAGTCCAATGTGAAGATAGCAGAACCATAAGAGAGGAGTTTGAATCCCAAACAACTTTCTATGGCATCATCCCCTGCCCCACCCCAATTCTGGGCTACTTATTTCTGTACTTTAAATTGAAAGAGAACAAATTTGCATCTTGTTTAAGCTATTGTTATTTCGGTTTCTGTCACTCTCAGCCAAACTCAATACTACTTGATAAATTGGTTTTAAAAAATGATGATAAATTAGAAAACTACTTTAGGACTAATGAAACTTTAAGATTAAAAAGTACTTCTTGATGTGGGTTCTCAGTTTTTCCACCAAAATGTCTGAAAACAGAGAAAGGAAATTTACAACATTAGAAATTAGCACCAATACAACCTAGTTGAAAGGATTTTCTAAGAATTCCTTCTTTTGTCTATTCATTTGTTCACCATGTTTATTAAAAATACCCCTCATGTGCCAGGCTGTTCTAGGCCCAGGGAGTAGAGTGGTGAACAAAACAAATAAAGTCCTTGTCTTTGGGGATCTTCTATTCTAGTGGGAGAAGACAGACAGCAATCAAGACTAAAAAAGAAGTATAATGTCAGGTTGTATACATAAGTGAAGAAAAGCAAAACAAGGAAAAGGAGTAGAAAATGATAGACACAAACTATGAATTGAGTGGACAGAGAGGGCCTCTTGGAAGAGGTGATATCTGACCAGACCCCTGAATGAAATGACAGTAGGAGTCCTGGTAATTTCTGGAAGAAGAGCATTGAAAGCAGAGAGAACAACATGTGCAAAGGCCCTGAGGCAGAAACACTGATGGAAGAGATGGGTTTCCCTGGTTTTGGGCAGCTCCACTATGGCTTTTCAGGGTACAACCTCTTTCCTGGCTACTTTCTCAGGGTAGCATTGTCTGTGGCTTTCCCAGGCACATGATGCAAGCTGTCAGTGGATCTACAATTCTGGGGTCTGGAGGACAGTGGCCCTCTTCTCACAGTTCCACTGGGAAGGGCCCCAGTGGGGACTCTGCATGGTGGCATCAACCCCACATTTCCCTTCTGCACTGTCCTAGCAGATGTTCTCCATGAGGGCCCTGCCCCTGCAGCAAACTTCTTCCTGGACATCCAGATGTTTTCATATACCTCTGAAATCTAGGCAGAGGTTCCAAACCTCAATTCTTGACTTCTGTGCACCAGCAGGCTCAACACTACATGGAAACTGCTAAAGCTTGGGACTTGCACCCTCTGAAGCCACAGCCTGAGCAGTACCTTTTTCCCTTTTAGCCGTGACTGGAGTAGCTACAACACAGGACACGAAGTCCCCAGGTTAGACACAGCAAGGGGGTCCTGAGCCTGGTTTACAAACTGTTGTTTCTCCTAGCCTGTGATGGGAAAGACTGCTGCAAAGGTCTCTGACATGCCCTGGAGACATTTTCCCCATTGTCTGGGTGATTAACATTTGGCTCCTCCATTCTTATGCAAATTTCTGCAGCAGGCTTGAATTTCTCCCCAGAAAATGGGGTTTTCCTTTCTATTGCATCATCAGCTGTAAATTTTCCAAGCTTTTATGCTCTGCTTCCTTTTTAAAACTGAATTATTTCAACAGCACCAAAGTCACATCTTGAATGCTTTGCTGCTTAGATATTTCTTCTATCTGATACCTTAACTCATCTTCCTCAAGTTCAAAGTTCCACAAATCTCTAAGGCAAGGGCAAAATGCCACCAGTCTTTGCTAAAACATAGAGTCACCTTCATTCCAGTTCTCAACAAGTTCCTTATCTCCATCTGAGACCACCTCAGCCTGGATTTCATTGTCCATGTCATTATCAGCATTTCTGTCAAAGCCATTCAACAAGTCTCTGGGAAGTTCCAAACTTTCCCACATTTCCCTGGACTTCTGAGCCTTGCAAATTGTTCCGACCTTTGCCTGTTACCAAGTTCCAAAGTCTCTTCCACATTTTTGGATATTTTTACAGCAGCACTCCACTCTACTGGTACTAATTTACTGTATTAGTCTGTTTTCACACTGCTGATAAAGACATACTCGAGACTGGGCAATTTATAAAGAAAAAAGAGGTTTAATGGACTCACAGTTTCACATAACAGACCTCACAATCATGGCAGAAGGTGAAAGGCCTGTCTTGCATGGAGGCAGACAAGAGATAATGAGAGCCAAGTGAAAGGGGTTTCCGCTTATAAAACCATCAGATCTCATCAGACTTATGCACTACCATGAGAACAGTATGGGGGAAACCACCCCCATGATTTGATTAACTTTCACTGGGCCCTTCCACAACATGTTGTGGGAATTATGGGAGCCATAATTCAAAATGAGATTTGGGTGGGGACATGGCCAAATCATGTCAGTTGGGCAGTCAGCTACCTGTTGTTGGGTGATTTTCACCAAAGTGCATCTTTTTCTGTACAATCAGAGGCTGCCACCTCCAGAGAACGTATTATCTCACTTAATCCTCTGGCTGGATGCTTAATGGGTGTAGAGTGAACTGGCAGTGCCCAGTGAATCTTGAGAGGGGTCATCCTTACAAGTAAAGCACTATAGTTAGTGGAGATGGAAGACCCTCAGATGCAGTGGATGTTATAACCTATGGCGTTTAGGATGGTATTTCATGGTGATAGAGTGAGAATGCCAGACAGTGGTGATAATATTGTCTCTGTCCAAAAGAGTCATAATAAATGTAAATCTGCTTATCATGCTATTGAGTTAAGTGCTAAACTTTGCTGTGCCATCCAGTTGTAAAACCTAGAGTCCCAAAGAGGAGAATAGTAAGATGAAAAACAACACAACCAATCTTTTGGCTAACACTAAGTCTGGAAATTACTCTCCCATTTGAGATGATTACCAGAAAAATCATCAATATATAACCTACGAAAAACTCCTGAGGGGCAGAGGAATGGGATCAATGCTTCAAAGACTCAGAGAAAGAAAATCATTATAAAAATTATTTGCTCCTAGAATTTAAAAAATATTTTAAGAAAACTGCTTGGCATTCTAAAGGTGAAAAGACTTTAGAATGAGATAAAAGGGAGAAGATTACTTTTAAAAATTCAGCGATGTTAAAAATGTAACAGCAGAAGTAAAATCTACATTGGGAGCAGGAACGTAGACTCCTGCAGCATTACTGTGACAGACACTGGAGTCAGTGACATGTAAGACAAACTTAAGATCTCTTTAGGTATGTGGGTAAAAGAAAAAAGGATTCAAGTGAATAAAATAGAAGGCTAGGGCCAGGTATGGTGGCTCATGGTGTAATCACAGCACTTTGGGAGGCCAAGGTGGGTGGATCACAAGATTCAGGAGATCGAGACCATCCTGGTCAACATGGTGACACCCCATCTGTACTAAAAATACAAAAATTAGCCAGATGTGGTGATGTGACCCTGTAATCCCAGCTATTAAGGAGGCTGAGGCAGGAGAATTGCTTGAACCTGGAGGTGGAGGTTGCAGTGAGTCGAGATTACACCACTGCACTCCAGCCTGGGACACAGAGTGAGAGTTTATCTCTCTCTCTCTCTACATATATATATATTATATATATGTGTGTGTATGTATGTATAGACATACACACACATATACGCAAACACATCTATCTATATAGATAGATAGAGAGAGAGAGAGAGAGAGGACTAGATAGATTTATTTAAGAATTATATGTTTCTGAGGAAGATACTACAACAATTAGAACAAGAGTAATTAAAGGTATCACTTTAAAAAAGAGGACCTGACTATTCAAATTGAAAGGACTCACCATTCTAGATGATAGTAATGAAAAGAAGTCTACCCTGGCAAACGTTTAGGAATGCAAGTATAAAGAAAAAACCACATCTACTAGTATTCTGCCATAAAGCAAGTTATTTATGAGGAAACAAAAATCTAGCTGTTCTCAGCTCTCCAATAAGATACGCCATAAGACAACAGAAAAAATTTTTTAAATTTTTTGAAGGAAAAGACTATGACCTAAGAATTTTCTCAGCTAAATTTTTTTCTTCTTATGTGATGACAACAGATGAACAACCCCATATATTCAAAGTCTCAGGAAATAGAGCATTCATGTATTCTTCATGAAAATATTATTCGGAGACATGCATCAGACACCTGAAAAATATGAAAGAATAGGGCATGGATTATACATAGTTCATGGCATTACATGAATATTAGAAAGCAAGATGAAATAACTTGGGAAAACATAAGCCATGTCTAATAGCAGTACTTCCAAGCCATAGCTTACACTAGCCCAATTCTCAACAAATTGGAAGGCAGCTAAACAATCATACAATGCCAGTATTTTATGGTGTCAGGGTCTATTCACATATAATCTTATTTAACCCATTTTATCTCTGTGAGATAAGAATTGATATCCCCATTTAAGATATGGGACAGTAGATGTATAAGGAAGCACTTGGCTAAGATATCACGGTTTATAGGTGGCAGTCAAGAGGTCAGTTTGCAGTCTACGGGTTTAACCTCATACTATTCTGCTTCTAACATGACCACAGAAATGTATTGACCATTAGCTGCCTGAAGTTCTGTTTTTAACCCCATGTGTCCAAAAGAAGATGAATTTTGTTTAAATAGTATTTTCCCATCTCTAGGGCTATTGGCTTTAAAGAAGTTTCCAGAAGTGAATCCAATTCTTAGAAGGATCAAGCTGGATTCTTTTGTGTGTTATTCTAAGAGGTTGCTTTACATATATATAATTTTATATGATTTATATAATATATATAATTTTATATTATATTAATATGTATAATGTCATATGTGATATATATAGTACATTTCACATTGGTAGGACATAATTCCAAGCCACATGTTTGTTTAGCCACCTGAATTACTTGAATTTAGCTTCTATTTCCCTGTTTATTTCCTTCTGAAAATATTATACAAATAACATCAGTTTGCAAAATAGTAAAATCTGTTACAGCTTTTTTCATACGCTAGGCTAGACTAAATGCATTCTGTGGATTGTTTACTTCGGACAAACGGGTATATTTTGAAGTCGTATAAAAATGAACAAGGACTGCTTGAAATAGACTGATAGCAGAGCACATTTGGCTGGAGCCTCTATTTTAAAAGGAAAACCTGAGAATCATATTATTTGAGTGTGATTCATGTGTTGATAGTATTTCAAGGCAAGCCACTTAAAATATGTCCTGAGTGCTGATACTGGAGATGATCTTTTCTTCAGTGCTTTCAAGTGTCTTCATTGAAGTGTACACATCCTATAACAAGTATCTACACATTGTGATTAAGAGAGCAAACTCTGAAATCAGACCTAGATTAAATTTATAATTCTCTGCCAGCTGATTGGGCAAGTGACTTAATCATCCTACAGTAGTTTCTGCATTTGAAAAGTGGAGATAGTGTCTATCTCAAGGCATTTGATTACACTGATTAATCAAAAGAATTACACTGACTAACATAAAACATGTATGTGTCACATGAAGGCTCATTAAAAAGTGGGTATGATTAATATTCCAGTAACTACCATTTCTAACAACAGACTGAAGGGGATCAGAAATATTTGTTGAGTGAAAACAGAAGAAACAAACAGCACAGATTTTCTGCTCTCCTTTATAATCGCTTACCTGTCTAAGGACTGATCTCAGCTCACTACAGATTGTCACCCGAATTTACCTACTGTCGCCCATTAACCAATCAAATAAGGCAGTCTAAAAACTCCAGGCGTCCCTTTCGGTAAGGACCCGGACTGTTGAACTGGAAAGCTAAAATTCAAGGCGTGACAATTGCCCTTTGTCCCACATTTCCCCCACCGGTCACCCGCTTAAGTGGTGCGTCCCCTTGGGTACCACTTGGACAAAATCTGCGCCCAGCACTCCCTGTGTAAATTCGCTGGAAGCAGCTGGAGGCTTCAGTTCTGATCTGCTCCGGTGTCCCTGGCGCCTTGGCGAACTTGGGGCCAATCCAGTCCCTCACCTGGTGAGCGCTCGGGGCGGCGGGCTGACTCTCCGAGGTCCCAGACCCGGGTTTAAGGTGGGCGGCTCGCAGCTACGGGTGCAGAGGCGACTGCCAGACCTCACCCCGCCTCTCACCTTCCGGGACGCTCGGAGGCCGACACCTGGAAGACGCCTCCAGTCCCCGCGGGACGCCACGCCTGCGCGCCGAGGATCGGGGATAAGAAGTGAGTGCCGGGCTCTGGCTGCGCGCGGCGAGGCCACTAGTTTGCGCGCAGGGCGCAGGCGACCTTGGGGCCATGGACAAGCCACGGGTCATCGGCACCTTCGTGGTGTGGGACTACGTGGTGTTCGCGGGCATGCTGGTCATCTCGGCAGTCATCGGCATCTACTACGCCTTCGCGGGGGGCGGCCAGCAAACCTCCAAGGACTTCCTGATGGGCGGCCGCAGAATGACCGCCTTGCCCGTGGCGCTGTCCCTCACCGCCAGCTTCATGTCAGCCGTCACCGTCCTGGGCACCCCGTCCGAGGTCTACCGTTTTGGGGCCATTTTCAGCATCTTTGCCTTCACCTACTTTTTTGTGGTGGTCATCAGCGCGGAGGTCTTCCTCCCAGTGTTCTACAAACTGGGAATTACCAGCACCTACGAGGTAAGCGGCAGGGTGGGCTGGGACCCTGCAGGGCGCGGAGGAAGGGGGCCTCAGCAGACCTCTGGAGGCGTTTTCTTGGGGGCAGACTCCCACTGCCATGCCACATCGAAATCTCTCCCGGTTCATCATCACCCTCCCTCCACTCCTCCCTGTCCCCCCATTATCCCCTCGCATTTTTTCCCTTCTATGGAGATGTGTCCTCTAGGGTGGAAAAAACCTTGGGATTTACTCTCCTGGGTTTGGTGGGAAAAAAAGAGGCTTCCAAAGTGAACGGATTGGACTAGCAGTGCTCCCTAAGGTCCTCTCTACCTTTAGCATCTGATTGCCAGGCAAGGGGAAAGAGTTAGGGGAAGGTAAGGTCTTCAGGTCTCAGCTCCTCCTTCTTGAAATGAATCCTCTTGTTCCAGGTCCTCAGTGCCATTCACTTTTCCAAGATAGTTGGTGAAGAATTTGTGCCCCCCTTCCTTCCCCCTCCACACATACCCCCTTTCCATTGAGAAAGCACCCAAATGGCTAAGGTGCTGTATCTCTTATCCCAGTACTTGTATTTGAGACCAGATTCTACCACTTACCAGCTGGGTGACCTTGGGCGACTTACTTAACCTTTTTTGTCTATTTCCTCAGAAAGAAAATAATATCACCTACCTCAACCGGTTGTTGGGAGGCTTAAATGAGATGATGCAAGGTGTAGCATTCAGAATAGTGTTTAACACAAAGTAAGTGCCAGATAGGTGTTGGCTAAAATTATTGTGGTGGTGCTAGTAGTGATGACGGTAGTTATCTTGGGATCAGTAAAAAAATTAGGCAGCAAAATTCTCAAACAGCTCTGCCTTCTCTATAGAAAGATAATTAAGGAAAACTGTCTTTCCTCTATTACACAGGTCCCCTGGCTGTAGGTTTTCTCAAGTTGTCTGCAGGAAAGGGCTTTGAAAAGATGATTCGTGTTTAAAGAGCTGTTGAATGGGAGGTGCATGGGTGGGAAGGATCAAAGCTCAGAGGAGTGGTGGGGGCCCAGTTCAAGTGGTCTCCTTCATCCAGGCACTGATCCATGAGCTCCACAGGTCAAGCCTGCAGAAGTTTCCTCTCTACTAGGCCATTACCCAGAGGGCTCCAATCCGGGGCTCCTCGCAGGTGGTTTCCTAGTGAGGCTGGTTCAACCAGTGTTGGGGACAGGGCCTCAATGGCAACAAACACTGGTGACATTCTGCCTGGGCTCTAGTGACTTCTTCCAGGGAGAGGCATCCCTGGGCCTCTCTTTGGTGCTGTGTTTGGAGAGCTCAGTAATCTTCCCAGAAGTGAGCAAGATGCAATTTATTGGTTTTTCTCAGAAGTGACAAACTGGTGAAATTCCCCAGATCAAATTCAGTTCTCAATCATTTTTTTAACTTCTCCTTATAGTGAGGAAAAATAAATTATAATTCCAGACTGTGACTTCTTTTGAGAACTCAAAAGGCTGGTGACACTGGACCCACATTCCCTGTGGCCACAAGAACTCGAGTTTACAGCCATTGCTCTCACTCTCTATTAATTTCTATATTGAGGTCTTATCATTGTGTTTTCATGGTTACTGATTTTTGGTAGAGAAACTTTTGTCTGCATTTATGTCTTCATCAAAAATGTGAAAGGGAAAATGGACAGGGGTAGAGGGATCTCTTGTTTCCAGGGAGATGTAAGAGAACATATTTTTTAGTGAATAGGAAGAATATGCCAACATGTTAATATGTTAACACCTGGCCAGTGTCACTTATGTGTGTTACTTGATAGAACCTGCAGGCATTTGAGTCTGTGAGCTCTGATTTGTAGCTAACCAATTCCCAAACTTGGAAAGGGTTTGAAGAATCTGGCATGAGGACTTCAGTCCCCACAGATGAATGCTGCTCTCCTAATCACTGACCCATGCCTTTTCTGGGCTACAACATTAACTCAACCAGAAACGGATTTCCCTTATGTTTACAGTGGTAGGGGCTAAGTCTGCAGAGGTTCCAGCTAAAAATGGCAAAAAACAAATTGAATGTTGAGCACGTGCCGGGCACTGGGCTACATTGCATGTTTTACATACATTATCTGACTCACATTCAGATCAATCCTTATGAGGGAAGTACTATCAAGAGCTGCATTTTGTGGACAGAGACTCAGAATAAGTTACGCTTCTAGGAATGTGAAGCAGTGTAGACCTGAGCCTAGCAGCATACTGGCTGCTTCTGAAGGCTCTGATGAGTCTATTATAACCCCAAGCAATGCTTATGCCAGGGCAGAGAGAAAAAGGGAAGCAACACGTGAGAAAAAAAAGGAAGCTTCACGCATAAGCATGCGTGAAGTTGTGGGTACACTGCCAGTATCCACCTCTGGGCTGCCAGGCTGTTGGGAAGGGGGAAGTTAGGCAACATGTAAGACCCTCCTAATTAGTTATGGCAAAGACTTTCCTGTGGAGTGTATTGTTTATTGTTTTATACTGAGAGGTGCAGAATCTATACAGAATATGCAGTACAGTGTTGAGTGATCGATACCCTGGCATTCTTGCTCAAGTATGAAATCTCTCCCTGTTGACATTTCTTGAGCAAAAATTAGCTGTTCACAAGCATATTTTTCATCTATCACTGCCTTCAAAATGTAGTCCCAATAGATGTTTAGCAACTTCCAGACCCAAGTATAATGTAGGAATCCAGTTTAATCCACCAATTCTTCAAGATCCTTCTGGAGCCTACTTAATCTGTGTGTAAACTGAGTTGCTTAGATCTCGTGTTTATTATTTATATATTTATTTATATCAACAGAAGTTATTCAAAGTTCTGAGGACCATAAGAGATCTTGGTTGATTTAGGCATCTATCGTTACTCTGTAATTATGTCCAGAAATCTTCCAAATATCCCTAAGGCTGCCATACAGTGACTTAGGCATCTGATCCAGTCTTCAGTATTTCTTCAGCAGCCTAGTAATTGATGGCTGAGATCATAATAGACTTCTTCGTTCTGTCTTGAGTTGGTCTTTGAGCTTAAATCACAAGTTTTCCTGGATCAGCTGATCAACTTAGTTGGTTCAGCTTGGTTCAACTTACTTTGTTCAGTGTGGTTTGACTACATTCTTACCTCTGTTACATTTTTCTTTTAAGTTTTCTTTGTTCTCCAGAAGTTTGGATGTGTGTATATGGAAAAAACAAAGACTTCTCTTCTATTGATGCCCATTCACATGTTTAGTGATTCATAGAGATTTACAAAAAAAAAAAAATTCTAAAGAAATATAGTAACACTGCCCAGTTTCCAGGCTTAATAAACTCCAGTCTTCTAAAAAGGTTTCCAAAATATCCTTGAATGATTTTGACACGTGTAATTCACTGAGATTCAGTTTTCTCCAGGCCCATTGATTTGGACACCACTGGCTTCTTGATATCTTACTTTTCAAGTTCATATTTACCCGTCCATTTATGTCATTGGATAGTCTCCAAACCCTGCAAAGTGAGAGGGAAACAAATTATTATTATGCATCTCATTTTAAGGAGAAAAAAATGTGACATTTGGAGAATGATTGCCACAAGCTCATGGAGGCAGGAATGGGACTGAGTCAAGGGCTGGAACTCTTCCTCCAGTGTAGTACATAGTATTGTGTATTTGTCACCCATCAGCGATTTGGGAGTGGGGTTTTACCATGTGTTAGTTTCACCCATTCATTTATTGAGTCTTAAATATGCAGTCAGATTGTTTACTTATATATGTGGAATATTGTGCACAGATTTTGGCATCGAAGGTTTTAAATGTGTACTGTGGCCCTGCCAAGTTTGCAAGGCTGTCAACTTGGCATTCTCTCTGAGTCCCAGTGTCCTTGTCTCTAACATGGGTTCAGACACAGTATCTGGCTCATAGAGCTGTTGGGAAGACCATGCACACAGCAAGTACTCTGTATGTGTGAGTTGTGATCATGGGGGAAAATATCAGCTGTCTTCTCCTCTAATTATGACCTAATGCCAGTTTTTCATTCCTCTTCTTTTCTACTATATGAAGACTCTTGTCAGCCTTAAATTTCTTAGTAATTATATTCAAGTTAAAGAATGCCTTAGATCCCAGCTCTGAAATTCTGTGATTCTAACTCTTTAATATGTATATTATGATACATTATATAACATGGGAGACAAGCAGACTATGTTATGAGACATAGAAGATTTCCAGTAGAATAGTAAAATTTGGCATGGTCATTGACACCAAATAGAAACTGACTTGGATGACTTAAGTTAAAAAAAATTGTTAGAAGGATATAGGGGAAGCTCACAGAACAGAGGGACAAGCTGAGTAAGCAACGCTTGGAAAGGATAGGAACTAGGACAGCCTTTTCAGGCCATTGTCAGGGTCAGTCATTTTTTTGTCTTTGTATCCTGACTTTAAGATTCAATTACTTATTGGAAGGAAAAGCTGATTGGCTGAGCTGGGATTATATGATTTCCTCTTGGTCAGATGAAGCAGGACAATTGACTGACAATTCCATCACAATAGTCTGCAATCAGAAAGGGTTGATGCCCCAAGTGAGTCAAGGAAAATGTATGGAGTAGATACCAAGAGAAAGGGAAGAACAACAGATTATGCTCACTCTAAAAATACAGAATGTAATTCTATTTATATGACATTCTGGAAAAGGCCAAACTAGAGAGGGAGAGCAGATCAGTGATTGCTAGGGTTTGGGGGCGGGAGGAGGGCTTGATCATGAAGGGGAAGCATAAGGGAGTTTTCTGGGTGATGGAACTGTCTTGTGTCCTGATTGTGATAGTGGTTGCATGAATCTCTGTGTGTTAAAACCCATTGAACAATACTCTAAAAATGAAGAGTCGATTTTGCTGTGTTATAAATAAAAATAATACTAAAATAAAAATACAGAATACAAATCAGTTACGAAGTTGCTTTACATTTCTAAATTTAAATTTTCTTCTTGAGCTGTTGATTTAAAAAAAAGGCATCCAAAGGATTCACATCTATCTATCTATCTATCTATCTATCTTTTTTTGCAACAGTATTTAGAACTTCGATTTAACAAATGTGTTCGTCTCTGTGGAACAGCCCTCTTCATCGTTCAAACGGTAAGTAGCTCTCCATTGATTTTATCTTTTGTCAGCTAAAATGTTTTTAACCATGGCATCTGGATGAAGCTTACCTGGGAAACATATGAAAGACAAAAAAGATATGTTGAAAATACGAGGAAACAAAAAAGGAAAAACACTTGTTACTGTATAGCATCAATCCTTAAGACAAGCGAACAGTGTTTCAATAAATGCCTTACATCCTGGAAAAGCAGAATGATTTAAATAAATTAAATATTACATTGATGAAGTGACAGTCAGAAAATATGCTTTCCTTTATGTGACCTCCCATCACTTCCACCAGGGTGACAGGAAAGGCATTACTACATGACAAAGATACTTGTTGCTGATAGTGGGAATTCTAACAAAAGGAGAACAAGTACCATGTTTGTGACATATTGAGTAATAGGCATAAAAAAATTAACTTCCATAGGAAGACAGTAGGAAATAATTTTCTTTGAAATCATACTTTAAAAATCAGTGCTCTTTTAAAAATTAGACTATAAGAACCGACTAAAGTGTAAAACAACAGAATCATAAGTTCTGGAGGAGTTTTTAAAGCCAAACACTCAATTCAGTAATTCAAGAACATGCACTTATAGATTGACACAAAAGGAACGCAAGGATTTGCCAAGTAGCCAGTGACAGAGAATGCTTTCCACTGTTCACCCTGATGCTGGAAGATCATAATGATCAGTGTCACAATTATTTACATACAGCATTTCCTCTTGGCAGTTAAACACTTTAGGCTGGATTTGCTAATGGAGTTTGTGGAAGAGGTTTGCATTCCTGTCTCTAATTGCAATTCCATGTCTCCAGTCAAAAGCTACCTATGGGCGGGGCACAGTGGCTCACGCCTGTAACCCCAGCACTTTAGGAGGCTGAGGTGAGTGGATCACCTGAGGTCAGGAATTCAAGACTAGCTTTGCCAACATGGTGAAACCCCATCTGTACAAAAATTAGCCAGGCATGATGGCGGGTACCTGTAATCCCAATCCCAGCTACTCTGGAGGCTGAGGCAGGAGAATCACCTGAACCCAAGAGGCGGAGGTTACAGTGAGCCAAGATTGTGCCATTGTACCCCAGCCTGGGTGACAGAGCAAGACTCCGTTAAAAAAAAAAAGCTACCGAAGGATTTGCTGCAGCGAGTGAGGCAGCGTGCCTTTGTAAAGTATGTAACTCAACTCCATTTTATATCTTTGCAAATTATACAACTTAAATTTTATCAGTCCTTAACAACTGCAGTGTAAAAGGAAGGAATCCTTACAGAGTTGAGCCTGGTATCTTGCATTCACCAACTGTTCAAACCCTCACTGGATCTCTCTTAGAAATGCCAGTAGAAATTAGAAGTGGGGACAAGTGTTAAGAAGGTTGCCTGTGGTCATGTTTTTAAATCTTCAACTTGGACAGAATAATGATTGTGGAAAGTTAGTTCATTTTTGCAAAAAAAAAAGGAGAGCTTTAGCACCTCCCATTTGAAGGACTTCATAGTTCTACTCATGCAATATAATCAGACATTCAAAAGGTACTTAATAGGTTTTTATTTTCATAATATGCTTTTATGGAATAATCATGGACTTAGCTTCTATGGGATATATTTAAAAGATCAAATGCAATAAAAGTTATATTTTGAGAAAAAGAGTATTTATCTCACTTACTATTATACCCCAGATCAATAAATAGTTGTTAAATGTATGAATGAAAACAATGAATGTTAAGAAGATATAATATCTTTTTAATACGAAAAAGGTCAAATGGTTTTGTTGGCTTTCAGGATTTTTTTTGGTGCAAATTTATACTTTTGTTTAATTTATGAACATTAAAAATTTTATAAATAGGTTTTCCAAATTTTTACTGTTTTCTTGATTAATTATGCAGCGATTAACTGTTTGAAGACATATGATTCAGGAGCCATCCTCTTTTATATTATTATTCTTTCTTTTTTTCTAATTATTTTAGATGTAAGAAATCTATTTCAAGCTTGAGTTGGTGGATCAGTGACCATTTGCACTAAGTAGCATATAATAGTTCATATTTTTACATAAGCCGGTTACAAAAACATGTTTGTAACTTATGACCATACCACAAACAGAAGAGTAAAATTTACTTAAATAACATTTTTCAAGTTACAAACAAATTTTATTAGGCATTTTGAAACTGTTGTTTTAATTGATAATGAAGCTATGGAAGAAATCAGTTATTTTTTATTTTATAACTCAGACATAATTTTATAGTTTGTATAATTCATTTGGCTTTCTTTTTCCCCCCTAGATTCTGTACACTGGAATTGTTATTTATGCCCCTGCCCTGGCTTTGAATCAAGGTACATTTTAGAGTTGCCAGTTAGGTAACTCACATTTTGGGGTTCACTCTCAGCAAGGCTTATTTTCTCCTTGGGGAAATAGGAAGATGGAGGAATGCTTCTAGAAACCTACATCAGCTTTACTAGAGGGGCAGGATGGGTTCAGTGTTTATACTAGCTTCTTTGGAAGCTAGTAGCTCCAAAGTGCCTGTAGATCATTACAGAGGCAGACTTCTCCAGGTAGTAGTACTTCTCTGGGATGTGCCCACCAGCCATTAATTCCTTTAGAATTAAAGGTCCCTGTAGTCAAAGTCAGGATTCACGTCATCCCCTCCTGTGGGTCTATAACCTGGAGCCCATCTCCTGGAAGCTTCCCTGTAATTCTGCTCAGGTCTGGAAGGGAGACCTGGAAGGGAGAAAATCTGGAACGGAGAAAAGCTTTTCTTCTCCTCACTTCTATATGGCCCAAAATGAAAGAGAAAGAGAGCCACGTGATTCAAATAATCAGACTTCTCCTAGTAACAAAAGGACAGATGTCTGCAGTGCCCTTACAAATACATTTATGAAGATTGTGCTGACCAACAAAGTTTCTATACTGTCTAGATTTGGGAAGATAAATGCGGTGAGCCCGGGATCGTTTATTGAAGCAAAGATTTCTGTTAGTCATATTTTCAAAAGGCTTTGGGAAAACAGCAGGCCCTTTGAATTCTTATCTATTGGAAGTGAATTTCTCTAAAACTTCCTTGTAAAATGGACATGTGGACTCTGTGATGGGAAGAATGTGGTGCAATTCCTGGGGTCATGATATGACCTGAGGAAAACCTACTAATTCCACACTCTGTTTTCTTGATTTTATGATAGACATGTAGTTATCACCTAAGTTTATGAAGTAAACAGTATTATTACCAAGAGGAACTTCATATATAAGGTACTGTTGAACTCTTAATGCTGGGCATGTTCCACGTCAATATTACCAACATCACAAGTGGATCATTCCATATGTCAAGAACTGAGTTATAAACTTCATAAGTTACCTATTGGCTTTAAGTGTAATTAAACATAGTAGGGTTTTAAAGTGCAGTTCTGGGGATAATCAGAGGACTGACTTCAATCTTTGAAGAAGTGATAAGTTAGGCTCAAACCACTCCCTGAGAGTACATTAGAACCAGAGTGAAGGCGTTTTGATGACTAGAGTGTTAATGTGTGTTTTACTGTGACCAAGGCAGTAGGCACAGGCATAGACCCAGAACTTAGTGTGCAACAGATGCCCATAAAAAGCTTATTTAACTAAATTGAAACTTAACATTCTCTAGATCTAATTTAAAAATTTTTTTTAAATTTTGGAAAACCTCGAACAAATACTAAGAGAGAACAGAGCTCCTTAATGTGCTCGTTCATCCTCTACATTAATATTTATCAACTCACGGTCCATTTTAATTCACTCCCCCTTACCTCTTCTAGATTATTTTGCTGCAAATATGTCATTTCATCTGTATTTCAGCATGACTTTTAGAAATAAAGACTTTTAAAACCATAATGATACCATCATTGTATCTAAAATATTAATATTAATTTCTTAAGTTCATATCAAGTCAGTGTTCACATTTCCCTGATTTTTTTTCAGTGTTTGTTAGAATCAGGATCCAAATAAGATTATGCGATTGCAGCAGTTGTTAATGTCTCTTAAGTTTCCCTTTCCTGCTTTGTAAAATTGAAAGCCAGTTTTTTTTCTTTCTTTTTTTCTGACCACCTGCTGCCTGCTGAGAAAACCAGTTTTTAATGAGGTACGGTTAATATACAATAAAATGCACTGAACACGGGGAAATGTACAGTTGGATGAGCTTTAATAGTTGCATAATAGCTTGTGTAATTACCACTCCGCTCACGATATAGACTATTTCCATCATTCGCTCCTAGAAATTTTCCTTGTATGTCTTTTTAACAAATCCCCGATGGACCCAAGAAACCATTTTCTGACTTTTACCACCACAAACTAAACTAGTTTTCCCTGTTGTTAGATTTTATATAAGTGGAATCATATAAAGCCTTTATAGTGTCTGGTTTCTTTTTCTCAGAAAACATTTTTGAGATTCATTCATGCTGTTGCATGTATCGGTTCAGTCCTTTCTTTTGCTGGTAGTACTTCATTTTATGCATCTACCAACATTTGGTTATCCATTTTTTTGTTATAGACATTGGGTTGTTTCCAGTTTTAGGCTATTGTGAATTAAGGGTGCCAAGAACATTCTTCTACAGGTTTTGTGGGTTTCGTTTTTCTTTTTGACCCCTGTTTTCACTTCCACTGGAAAGGACATACATGGATGTGTATAAAGTTAAACATATAATTGTATTCGGACCCAGCTGAGGATAGGAATGTGTGTAAATTTATGAGAAATTGCCAAACAGCTTTTCCAAGTGGCTGTATCGTTTTGCATGTTCACTGCACAATACGTGAGAATTCTAGGCATTCCACATCTTTGCCAACGTTTCATATTATCCTTTATTATTCTAGTCATTCTAGTGGGTATTATCTATTACTTTATTGCTTTAATTTTCACTTTCTATTATATGTGAAAGTGTATAACTATTATGGCTGAGCTTATTGGCTCCTTAAATAATAAAGTGAATAAAAACAAATAACCTAATAAAAAGTGAGCCAAAGACTTGAACACTTCACAAAAGTAGATATTTTTTCCAATTCATTATATGACATACCTTTTCATTTACTTAGCCCTTTAAAAATTTCTCTTAGTACTTACTTTGGCAGCACCTAATACTAAAAGTGGAACAATACAGAGAAGATTAGCATGGCCCTTGCAGAAAAAGGATATGCAAATTTGTGAAGCATTCCATATATTTTTTAAAAAGGAAGAAAAGAAATAATAAATTAAAATAAAACTTCTCTTAGTAATGTTTTGTACCTTTGGATATTGAGGTCTTTTACTATTTCTTAGATTTAGTCCTAGATAATTTATGTTTTTATGCTATTGAAAATGGTATTGTTTTATAATATTTTTCAATTATTCATTGCAAGTATATAAAAATACAACTGACTTTTATATGTTGATATTCCATCCTGAGAACTTGCTGAATTTACTTTTTAAATCAAGCAGGTTTTTGGAGATAACCTTAGGATTTTCGTGTTGTTTATGAATAGTGACCATTTTACTTCTTTTCTAATCCTTATAACTCTTAGTTCTCTTTCCTGCCTTATTGCAATATTAATGTGGAAAGTTACATTGATTGAGTTTGGAATATTAAACTAATTTTTGCATTCTTGGGATAAACTTTGCTTGATCATAATATATAACACTTTTTATATATTACTGAATTCAATTTGCTGACACTTTGATAAGGCTTCATAAATGAGTTGGGAATGTTCTCTCCTCCATTTTCTGTAGTAGTTTATATAAAATTGTGTATTTATTTCTTATGTGCTTGGTAGAATTCACCCTGAAGGCATCTGGGCCTTCTCTTTGTTTTTGTAGAAAGATTTTGCTTTATGGATTCAATTTCATTAAGAAATGTAGACTTATTCAGATTTTAAAAGTCTTGTTGGGTCAGTTTTGGTGAATTGTGTTTTTTAGGGAATGCTTCCATTTGGTCTAACTTATCAAAATCATTGGCATGAAGTTGTTTACAAACCTCCTGTTATGCTTTTAATGTTTATAGTATCTACAGTGACATCCCTTCTAATTATCCCTAATATTGACAAAATACCTTTTCTATCTTTTTATTTTGATATATCCTTCTAGTATTCTATTGATGTTTTAAATGTTTTCTAAGAACCAATATTTTGGCTTGTTGATTTTCTTTGTTTTCTATTTCATTAACTTGTGCTGTTTATTGTTTCTTTTCTTCTAGTTACTTTGGGTTTATGTTTTCCAGCTTCTTAAGGTAGAAGCTTAGATCATTAATTTTAAGTATTTCAGATTTCATAATGCAAAGGTTTAAAATTATTAATTTTTCTTTAACCACTGCTTTATTTGCAGCCCATGGATTTTGACCTTGTGTTTTTATTTAGTTCTCAAAATATTTTCTAATTTCTCCTGTGATTTCTTTTGCCCATGGGTTATTTAGAAATGTATTGCTTAATTTTCAGTATTTAAGGATTTTCTATCATGTCTTTTTGTTATTTATTCCCAAACTAATACTGTTTTGGTCAGAGAACTAATATAATTATAATCATTTGAAATTTATGGATTTGTCTTATAGCCCAGGATCAGTTCTATCTTGAACATTCCATGTACTCTTAAAAAGAATGTATACTTTGTGCTTGTTGGATGTAATGTTCTATAGAGTCAAAGATTTAGTTGGCTAATAGTGTTATCACATCTTCCTTCTCTTTTCTGTTTTTTTAAACTTGTTCTATCAATTGCTGAGAGAAGGATGTTAAAATCTTCAAATATAATTATTGATTTTTTTATTGCTTCTATTTCGTTGTCAATTTTTACTGAATGTATTTTGAGGCTCTTCTAAAATCTTTTTTATTTTTAATTTACAATCACTCTTCTATTTCTTTTCATTTAAGTGGCAACTTATTTGCTGAAGAAACTGGGTTATTTGTTCTGTCCAGTTTTCTAGGTTTTAGGTTTAACAACTACGTCTCTATGGGGGAACATTTAATGTTCCCCATTCCTATGTATTTCTTGTAAACTGGTAGTAGTTTACTACTAGTAGTTAGATCTAGAATCTTTTTGAGACTCCACTTCAACTTTTTCAAAATCATAATCTATAAGTTTATTTCCTTCAGGAGTCCCAGAATGTCAAGTTTAAAAAAATTAGCAGCTATGTGCTCGCTTCGGCAGCACATATACTAAAAGTGGAACGACACAGAGAAGATTAGCATGGCCCCTGCGCAAGGATGACACGCAAATTAGTGAAGCGTTCCATATAAAAAAAAAAAATTAGCAGCTATTGATGATCATTCTAGATTTATTATTTCATTGGGGCTTATAAAATGGAGTATTCTAGTGCTGTGAATTCTTCTTCACTAATTAGACGGAATACTTCTATAAAGAGAAACTTCCTCTTATCAACTATGTGTTTACTCTGAAAAATAGTTTGTATAGGAAAGGCAGGATAAATGTCAGATTTTTCCCTTTATGAGTTTTAAAAAGAATAAATTGGTTCTCTACTATCCCTCAAGGGTGACTGAGATTTTTAAAAAATCCTTAAGAACTCATGGATTTAAAGGTTTGCTGTAATTTCATAGCTATCGTTAGTATTATTACTGATGCCTAAATTGTCCCATTTTTATTCAGAAGTAGCCCCCTTAAGTTCCTCCTGATTTTAACCTTGGCTGCATATTAGATTCACTTGGGGTGGGGAGCTTTCAAAAATACCAATACCTGGATCCCCATCGCCAGGACTCTGAGTTAATTAGCCTGTTGAGTGACTCAGTTATCAGGATTTTATAATTCTCCTCTGTTGATTTTAATGTGCAGTCACAATTGAAAGCCACGGATGTAATAGTTTTAGAATAGCAACTCTAAGCCATAAGGAATAATATGATGGTCTAACACGTTAAAAATATTTTTCTTTGGGCCGGGTGCGGTGGCTCACGCCTGTAATCTCAGCACTTTGGGAGGCCGAGGCGGGTGGATCTCAAGGTCAAGAGATTGAGACCATCCTGGTCAACATGGTGAAACCCCGTCTCTACTAAAAATACAAAAAATTAGCTGGGCATGGTGGCACATGCCTGTAATCCCAGCTACTCAGGAGGCTGAGGCAGGAGAATTGCCTGAAGCCAGGAGGCGGCGGTTGCAGTGAGCCGAGATCACGCCATTGCACTCCAGCCTGGGTAACAAGAGTGAAACTCCGCCTCAATAAGAAAAACAAATAAATAAAAAAAAATTTTCTTTGTTGTTCTTTTTACTTGGTGTATCTGAGTAGGAATATATGTTAATTTGTTGTGTTAAACATTTTGTGACATATTTCCTCTGTGTGGCAATGTCACAAACTTGATGTACAGTTAGGTTCCATTTATTTCATTTTGCAATTGATATTAAGGAGTTTCTTTTTCTAATTTAACTTTATAATTATGTAGAATATTTATGTGGTTCCAAAGTAAAATCTATACATCGAAATATGTCTAAAGAAGCCTGGCTTGTACCTCTGTCTCCTCTACCCTTTTTTCTCCCTCTCCTAGAAGTAATTTTTGGTTTTTATTTATTCTTTAGTTTTAGTATATGTACTGCTGAAGTGAACACAATTCTTTTCTTTAAAAAAATGAAATAAATTCCTCCACTTCTTAGATAAATAGCAGCAAATTATAAAGACTTTTCTCCATCTACATCCATTTTAGTAGTACATGTCTTAGTAATGTGTTCTTCAAGGACTGGCAAAATAGTGTGCTTACATGGACACATACAGGGGAACAACACACAGTGGGGCCTATTGGAGGGTAGAGGGTGGAAGGTGGAAGGGAGAGGATCAGGAAAAACAGCTAATGGGTTAATGGGTACTAGACTTGATACCTGAGAGATGAGATAATCTGTACAAGAACCCCCATGACACAAGTTCATCTATGTAACAAACCTGCATATGTACATCTGAACTTAAAAGTTTTAAAATAAGCATTACCATTACCTTTATTAAATTTCTGAAATCAGATCTGCAATCTGTAGTGTTATAATTACATTTGAATCCTTTAATGTTGTCTTCATTTGAATTTTCTACACGTCATAGCAATTGAATATTGTCATTATATTGTATGATGTATTATCTTCAAATTCAAGTATTTGCAACATAACACATAAAAAGTAGTGTGTTTATTTGACCATATCTAATGGGGGGAAAGAGAGAAGAAATACCCATCACAGTATTAAGGACTTTCTTAGCTTAATTACAATATAAATGTCTTTCCATCTATTTAATTAAGCTAACATCGAATCTGTGTATCTGAGGGTTAGAAACTCATCAAATAGAATTTTAAACTCCATTTGTCTTTAAGATATTTATGAGATTTGGAGCTAGTTTTAGTTTTAGACAAGTGGGTATAGAGGGAGGTGCCTGATGAATGATATAGCTTCATTCTGATGATTTTTGAGGAGTATTTTTATTGTGCATATTTCACAATTACACATGCATTCTCTTTTTTTCTACAGTCACAGGATTTGATCTGTGGGGCGCGGTAGTGGCAACGGGGGTGGTCTGCACATTCTACTGTACACTGGTACGTCCAGAACATATTTCCCTTTTCACTCTACCCACCTGCTTTGCAAAATTGTAAATTCCAGTTGTTGTATGCTGCAATCTTGTTTGTCCATACCTACCCTCTCCTATTCCCGACCTCCCGCAGTGTAACATTTTTGTATAAGAAATAGTCTGTAGTATAATTTAATCCTTTTTAGAAAATGCAGCATAACAAATTTTTTTCTTTCATCTGATCCATTGCAATGGTTCCTAATCTTGTCTCCCGATTCATCTGTACTGTTGCCTAGTTATTATATTTGTGCTCATATTATACCTCAGCTTAAAAACGTGTGGTAGGTTGCAGGCACAGTGGCTCCTGCCTGTAATACCAGCACTTTGGGAGGCCGAGGCAGAAGGATGGGCTGAGCCCAGGAATTTGAGACTAGGTTGGGCAACATAGTGAGACTCTGTCTCTACAAAAAGAATTTAAAAATTAGCCAGGGATGGTGGCACACACCTGTAGTCCCAGCTACTTGGGAGGGTGAGGTGGGAGGATCACCTGAGCCCAAGAGTTTGAGGCTGCAGTGAGCTGTGGTTGCACCACTGCACTCCAGCTTGGGTGGCAAAGAGAACCCGGTCTCAAAACAAAAACATGCCTGTGATAACTTCCCCTTGCTTATAGGCAAAGGTGGCAAAATATGCAAAACCAGTAGGGCAAGGCACTGATATTATGTGTGCTGGTCCTCAGCAGTGAGGAAATCTTATGGAATCCCTGATACTCTACGCCTTAACCCTTTAGGTGCTGGATCTTGTAGAAGATGGGGTCCTCAGCCAGGTGCTGGTTCAGCTCAGGTCATAGAGAAACTTGGGAAATTTCTGGTGGTGGCTAGTTCAGATCATTTATAGTATTTAACAGTGGATATGACCATCTGAGTACAAACCGATTAAATATCAGCTCTGCCTGTAGGATAAAATTCATATTATTGACTTGTAATTTGACTCTGAATTTTTCTTCCCAATGATCTCCCAACACCACTCCATTCTAAAATATGTATGTATCTGGCCACATTTAGCACCTCCTGTAGTTTGACTCCTTTATGCTTTTGCCCATGCTCTTTTCTCTGTTGGGCAGACCCTCCATCTTTGCCTCTGCTTGATTTAAATGTCTCCTTCTGCGTGAAGATTCTCCCAACCTGACTGTTTCCCTTGAGTGTACTTCCTGGCCAACTTACATGTTTTTATCATTTTTGTTCAGCATAGTGTAGATGCTTAATAATGTCTGATAGAAGTATTAATCCTAATATACTTTCCCCTCAAAGGGTGGTCTTAAAGCAGTTATCTGGACAGATGTTTTTCAAGTTGGGATCATGGTGGCTGGATTTGTGTCCGTGATTATACAGGCTGCAGTGATTCAAGGTGGAATCAGCACTATTTTAAATGATGCCTATAATGGTGGAAGATTAAATTTCTGGAAGTAAGTTTCTATTTACTACTTGGGTAATTGAACACGTCTTTTGTATTCTATAAAAATAATCTCTTCATTGAAATGGTAGATTTACATTAAAAAACAAACCAACCAATTGCTAAGGATACGGTAGAGCAAATTGAAGCAGATGAGTAAATATGTAAAGAGCCTCCCTCTGTTCTTTAAGGGGTTAAACCAGTCAGATGGTACTTAGCTACATTGTACTTAGAGTGGTGTTTTCTCCTGAGAAGGGACTTAAAGTAAAAAAAAAGTATTTTCTTTCACGTGTTAAAGTCCAGAATAGGTTGAAAAGTGGGACAGGGTGATAAGGAAAAAGAGAGTAGAAAATTAAGAAAGGGCAGCCTCTGCCTGGGTGTGGTGGTTTACACCTGTAACCCCAGCACTTACACATGTAATCCCAGGCAGGTGGATCACCCAAGGTCAGGGAGTTCAAGACCAGCCTGGCCAACATGGTGAAACCCATCTCTACTAAACATACAAAAAATTAGTGAGGCATTGTGGCGGGCTTGTAATCCCAGCTATTCAGGAGGCTGAGGCAGGAGAATTGCTTGAACCCAGAAGGCAGAGGTTGCAGTGAGCTAAGATCCCGCCACTGTACTCCAGCCTGTGCAACAGAGTGAGACTCTCTCAAAAAAAAAAAAGGAAAAGGCAACCTCTTAAGAGACAAACACTATCATATTGGATTACAGCCTGCCATTAAAAAAAGAGAGAGAGAGAGAGAGAGACAGATACTGAAAGACAGTGATTTCATCTTGACAATTCTTTGTATTTGGCGACTTTGAGAGTTTCTCTTTTGATATTGCCCTGGCAATAAATAGTATATTAACATAGAGGCTTATGATTATATATTATAAGTATGTATTATAAAATGAACATTGTCTAATATTAAGTATTATTTCTAGAGAATTGACTAGGAAAGTTATGGTCAATTCTTCAAGTAACAGTATAACACAATATGTAACATGTTTTAGAGAGCTGTTCAGTTTTCCTAAAGAAAGAACAATGGAGAGACTAGATATTTCATCCCAAGTATATCACACAATTTAAAAGAATATTGAAAACACTTTCCGTTTTGTATCCATAGTGTTGTCCTTTTGCTATATGGAAAGGGACCCATGTCATCTTGAACTAACCTATCTTCTCTTTGAGATAGCAGCCCTGCTTTGAAATAGGCAGTCTGAAGAAAGAAAACCATTTTGCATTTGATGGCTCTTTTCTGGTCTTCTGAAAATAAGCATCAAAATTTGCGAAAACCTTTTTCAGAAATTGGGCCGGGTCCATGTGTTAATTTGCAGGAATGAATTTTAGTGAATCAACTTCAACTATTTTCAATATTTCTTTCCTCCTTTTACCTCAAGATTCAGACTCTAAGGAAAAGAGCCTCTAGTTGCCTAGCTTGGGCCATGGTTTCATCCCTTGGCTAAGGCAGAACAAGGTGTATTGACTGATCATCAGCTGAGACTATTTAATGGAGAAATGGTAGTTTCCTCAAAGCAAACCTGGCTTGCTGTTACCAGAAGAGGGAGAGGGGGGAAATCCAGGAAGTGGAAACAACCAATGGCTGCTCTCGATTATTCCCAAATCTCTTGCTGGTAGGCCAGGCTGAGGAGAGAGGGTATGGAACCAATAATTTTTCTACAAGATAGGTGTCACTTTATACAAAGGCTACATATATTGGAGCACCGAAGTGATAGCTTATATCCGTTAGTAAGAGATTCTTAAGAAAAGATCAGACATTTTTATGACCTTAGCTTTGCAAGTTATTAAGTAGCAATAAAAAGCCTTATTTGTGTTTCAGACTTTTCAGTAGTGCCCCTTGTTATTCTGATATGTTTTGAGAATATGGTAGACAAAGTATTGTTCAAGTTGAGATACACGAAGAGAAGACGGATATTGCATTGGTATTTTCTGTGTTGTCTGTTATTGGCCTATGTATTCTGTATGGCCTAAACCACTAAATGGAGTGTTTAAAATCTTGTCATACTTCCCTCAGATAGCTCACTGACTCCTTTTGGCTCTTCTGTTAGCTAATAAAGTAGCTTCTCTCTCTTAGGGAGAAAAGGTCAACATTCTTGAAACTCTGTGAAATGTTAGACAATGAAATAGAAGCTCTCGCATTTCTATAAGAATGCCAGAATATGCGTACAATTAGATCACTTAACTGACCTCAAATATAAGATTTGAAATGGATTTGTGAAATTTTGTAATTTTAAGAAAGTGTCCATGGAAGTTAACTTTGCAGAGTTTTCTAGCTTATATTGGGTATCAGAGACGAACAGAATCATTCCTTCCATAAAAAAAAAGATCTTTCAAACATGGAAGTTGAGCTTCCTCTGTGAAAATATTTTGGATTTATGTACATGATGTCAAAATGGTTTTAAACTATTAGTACTTAGCTTGTACACACAGAATTTTAATAAAGCATAATTAAAATGACATAGTTTTTAGAAAATGAAAAATGAAAAACTTTAAAAACTGCATTAATTGACTGATTTGTTGAACTTAAATATAGATTAGAACTATGACTACATGTACTGGGAGAGGAATTCTATACACAGAATGTGTTAATTTTGTGTTCTTTTTAGTGCCATCTCTATTACTGTGGTGCACTTAGGAATGTTTTTCTCTCTCTCTTTCTCTTTGTTTCCTGTTCTTCTCTGATTGCAGCATGACAGATTTCTTTAAACAACAGTTTCCTTAGATTACAGGAGAACAATTTATATAAGTGCTTAGAATGATCGCAACATTCATTTTCCACCAGTGTATTCTAGAATTTCCAGATCTCTGAAAATAACAATTATTTCATTGAACTTAAATTGGAAATATTTCTACCTTTTAAATTACATAATACATTTGTACATATTTATGCATGTGTTGTGTATATAAATATACATTTCTTGCTTCCAAGAATAGTCAAAGAGGATTTTTTTTTTAGTGTCTGCTAACAATTCAGATTTGTTCTGTTTCTTGTCACTTAGCTTTAATCCTAACCCTTTGCAAAGACACACCTTCTGGACAATTATTATAGGAGGGACCTTCACATGGACCAGCATCTATGGTGTCAACCAATCCCAGGTGCAGAGATACATTTCTTGTAAAAGCAGATTCCAGGCAAAATTGTAAGTCATACACCTCGGCATATGAATCATTAATAACTATCAGTTGTCTTTATGGAAACTCTTCCTTAAGTCACATTTAGCTCCTTTATGTCTTTTGTGTCATGAAATTCTAAGAGATAAGTGACATATTGGGTAACAAAAGGACCAAGAATAAAGTAGTACTGTATGTTTTAAATCAGCTATTTGAAAATATTTACGTGAATTATTAATTAAAACAAATCAGCATTTATCGTGCATCTGTTTGCATAAGGACCTATGGGAGATAAACAAATATGGCCTTTGTCATGAAGAAAGTTAACCACAAATTAGGAAAATCTATGCAAGTATGTGAAAAAATACAATAATACTAGAGGCATAGAACAGTTTCATGAAACAACAGAGAAAATGTTCCAGATTATATATAGTACCTTGTATTTCATTTTCAGACACAGTCATGGGTTTATAACCCTGCTCTAATGCTTGCTACTTGAGTGATCCCAGGCACACTCTTCAGTCTTTTTGAGCTGCAGTTTCTAAACTTGTAAAAGGAGGATAAGAAATACTATACACCTCATGGGAGGTGTCATAAAATACTGTTTGGCATACCCTTGGTAGAGGCCTAGTAAATGTAAATTTCTTTTACCACTTCAACTGATGTGATTTGAAGGTGGAGAATGGGTGAGAGATTCCTATTGAACTGGCAGAATGAATATGAAGAATGATCATAATTTGGGCAGGTGGAGAAGAGTGGGAAGGTAGGCAGAGTGATTTGGATGAAAGCACAGAGGTGGGAAGGACAGAATGATCCAGAACTCTTGAGCCCATCTTGGCTTGAGTAAGCCCTCCTTCTCTGGAGGCCTCACATCAGTGCAGTACTCACCACTCCCTGTGCTGATAAATGGGCCGATTCTGCTCACATGCTTTTAGGGGCTTCAAAACTCTTAGGAGATTGAGTAAGAGCCCAGGGTGGATAGGGTGAGGGAAGGAGGGACAATTCTATTACTGTTTAAAGGAGAAAATGAAAATATTGTGATGTCATATGTCAGAACTCAACATATTGAAAGTAAATTGGTTTAGAGATTATCTAAATCTTTGAAGAACTCACAATGAAAAATCTATATGAATATGGATATAATAACTGGATATGAGATTCCCCAAAATGAACTAGGAATTCTGGTATTTTAAGGAATTTTGGAGGAATATAATCTATATAGAGAGTAGTCTATTGTACTTTTAAATCTACACTAGAGCTGATACCTGTCCCAAAGTAATTGTGGACAAGTTCTTCTTCTGTTCCTTGGGAAAATGAAACCCAAAAAGCCTGCTCTCATAACTTGAATAACAGCATTAGAGCTTTCTTGATAAAAATCAATTCCCATAAGCATAGTGGATCTCCTGCATGAAACAGACTCTCTGAACCCAGGGGATTCATTTTCATCTGCCTTCTCACACTTATGCTGTGGAAAGAATGAAAGCCAAGACCTACTGATATTGATTGACAAGAAACAGTATCAGATGTTGATAAGTGGTCAATTTGAACAGTATTAAAGTGAAATAAAACAATATATTAAACTCAGAAATAAGTGAGAGGAGGTGTTTGGGCAAGAGAGTATCTGGGCGTAATTTTCTGGTAATTTGGAGATAACAATAGCAAAACATACTGCAATGTTAGTCAATTCAAGGGAGAAGGATAAATCTGATAAACTCACCTTTGGGTTCTTTCGAAAGCAGACTCTGAGCTTGAGGTTAGCATGGAAGAGTTTATCAGAGAATCACTATCTGTAGAAGGAAAGAAAAGGAAACAGGGAGATTTGATAAGAGGGAGACACTGGACCATAATGCAGTCTCAACAGAGACCTCAAAGGGAGCTCTGGAGCTGGGGTGACTCTTCAGACTAGTCCCATGTTAGGGTGAGGGGACTGGGCCTTTAAACCTCTGAATCCATTTGTTATTGGATGCAGACTGCATGGGTGGTTGGGGAGAAAGAGGTATGACTTCGGGGATGGTACCTCTTGTCCACCTAGGACAGCTCATCACTGTCTGCTATAGCACCAGTGGAAAAAATATGTAGCCAACTTAGCAAGAGAAATGTTTACTAATCAGCTGATTAAGAAGATGTAGGATTCAATAACATTAACACTAATATCAATAACTAGTATTTAATAAGGTTTTATTACGTGTACGTACCATGCTATATGATATATGCTATTTCATTTAATTTCATAACTTTGTGACACAGAGATTGCTATCCTAGGCTTCAGTGATGAAACTGAAGATCAGAGAGGTTGAATTACATGCCCAGGGTTACGTATGGTAAAGCCAGGGTTTGTGCTCAGGACTGGCTCCAATGCTATGTGTAAAATCTTTCTTCTCTACTGGAACACACACAGTGTATTATAATACTGAACATTGTTTGAGAAGATACTTGTCCAAGGAATACAAGTTTGCATTCCTACTTAATGTATGGTCTTAAAAACAACATTGAAACAAGTTTCATGAGTTACTGTGTAAATGTTAACAATGCTTAGCAGTTTACAATCGCATTACTTTTAAAAGGAAAATGAGTAATAGTTAATGTTTGGTTGACTATTAAAATTCCTTTTTCATGACAAGAAGACCTGAAGTAGTACAACTGGGTACCTTTATAAAGTTCACAATGCCCCTGGAACTTCGACCATGAGTATACACTCTTTCATGGGGAAATCACACCCATTCAAAAATTTCCAAATAGACTGTCGATTGATTGGTATCATAAGCAGAATATTAGGCTAGAATAAAATAAGTAGCATTTTTGATAACCAAAAGGAAAAGTGCATTTATTGAATCTAATCATGAGGATTTTTTTTTGTTCATGTAACAGGTTTTCAAATCTTTGGGAGAGGAATTACAGTTGTCTTTTGCTGGTTTGTTTTCACTTCTTTAGGTCTCTCTACATCAATCTTGTGGGACTCTGGGCAATCCTCACGTGCTCAGTGTTATGTGGGCTCGCCCTATATTCCAGGTACCGTGACTGTGATCCTTGGACAGCCAACAAAGTGTCTGCACCAGACCAGGTTCAGTACCATGTCTTTCTTACAGGTGTATTCATAATATTCAAAAAGCTTATTAGTTGGGAGGAAAGAGCATTTATGTTCTTGTAGAGAAACGGAAAGTGGACATGCCATATCATCTTAAATTTCCATAAATCTTTGGCCAGAACTTATTTTAGTAGATATAGCAAGAATGAAGAGTACTGCATCTAAAATTAAAATATGGAAATACCAAGAAAAAAATCAAGTGGAGTGTTAAATAGAAATAGCTCAAGGCTGGGAATTGAAATGTAAATAGTTTTGTTTTGTTTTTTTGTTAAACTACACAAACCAAGTACTGTAGAACATGTTGTGGGTGTTTCTTAGATCATTCATTTATAAACATTTTATCTTCCAATTTTTAAATGATGGAGAAATGGATCTAATAAGTGAACATTTATTGAATACCAACCATGTGATGAGATTCTGTGTCAAGAGCTTAACATGCTTCATTTAATTCTCACAACCCTGCAATCCTGATTTTACAGTTGAGGAAATGCTTCTCAGAGAGGTTGTATAACTTGGCCAAAGTCACATTGCTAACAAGTAAGAATAACAACAAGCTGTTATCAAACACCGACCATGGGTCAGGCACTACCATAAATGCTTTATATAAATTTCAACTTATAATCGTCACAGTCATGCTCTGACGTAGTTCATATGATTATCTCCCTTTCAAAGATGAGAGAACTCAGGCCCAGAGAAGTTAAGTGAATAACTAGCTAGTAACTTGAAGCCAGGATTTAAAACCAAGCAAGCTGCCACCAGAGCCCTGACTTTGTACCTCTGTGCCATTTATTGTCTTTCAAAAAGGGGAACTAGAATTCAAACTCAGGATTGCCCAACCCTAAAACCTGAGTTCTTGCCAAAATTATTTTCTACGACTTGCGTGCCTAGGGGATTCATTAGAATGAAAATAGGCTGACTTTCTGTTGATGCAAATGACATCTTATGCTCCCCTTTATTTTTTAACCCCACAAAGAAAAATAAAACTTTATGGGGTTAGAAACTAAAAACACCCTTGAGCTGTGTTTCTCAACCCTATCTTAACCTATGCCCTCCTTTTGATAAACACGCCCTCCCTCTTCTCTCAGAGAATCTAAGGATCACGTTTACTATGAAGATGGAGGCACTCTTCTGTTACATTCCCTCTAATAAAAAATATTTTGTGACTGTTGTCAATCTTTATTGTCTGTAGTTTGCATCATGAAGACAATAAGGACTTGAAAAAAGTTTTTAATGTACTTTGCCTTTACCCTAGATAAAAAAAAAAATCCCTATGACTTCCTACCTTTGAGACAGCTTGTAGAATACATTCAGGGTATCTTGCCTGCATACGCTTAGACAGTCCGTGAAGGTTTCTCCCCAACTGATGTTTCCAGGACTGTGTTAGTTAACAAGTTAATTGAATCAACGTTTCACTGGGGATACCATTCCAATAAGACAGTGGAAGATTTTGTCAAAACCTTATTCTCGGCCAGTGATGGTGGCTTATGCCTATAATCTCAGCACTTTGAGAGGCCGAGGCAGGTGGATCACTTGAGGTTAGGAGTTTGAGACCAGCCTAGCCAACATGGTAAAACCCGTCTCTACTAAAAATACAAAAATTAGCTGGGCGTGGTGGTGCACACCTGTAGTCCCCGCTAGTCAGGAGACTGAGGCAGGAGAATCACTTGAACCTAGGAGGTGGAGGTTACAGTGAGCTGAGATTGAGCTACTGGACTCCAACCTGGGTGAGAGAGGGAGACTGTCTCAAAACAAATAACAACCAGACCCCTTCCCACATCCTCAAGAGAGCAAGGATATGTTTCTCTATGCTCTGCTGGCATTTGCCCAGAGGAAGCAGGCTAGTTCCTAGATACAGTTTTACTATTTTCCTGCCTAGCAATCCTACTTCATTGGTTCTACCCATATTTGAGGGAGCCACTGAGACATGAAATAATTACACCACAGATTTTTGAGAAAGTTGAAGATATGGTAGAGGATTTTGGACCTATAGGTGGAACCTACTTTTACTACTTGTGGGACATTGCTTAAAGTTCAGCGTTTACGATATCTTGGGAAAACTGGGTCTTGATCTCACATAGGGATAAAGCTGTGCCGTTTTTCCAAGAATAAACAATTAGTTAGCTTTGGATAGGTGGAGAAGGCATTCCTAAAACAACTGAAACAATCCTACTGTTGAAACATTCCCTTTCAACAGTGGAGGAAGTTCTTCGTATCCCATGAACACACTATTGTTAAACAAAGTTGTACAGGCTGTGGAAGCTGATAAAATCGGACACATCATCCACTCTATACTGTGGGAGAAGTAATAAGGTTTCAATGCAAATGAGAGGACACTCTTCTAGAAAATTGTCCTCTTAGGACTCTTTTGATTCGGAAACTGATTTTATAGAAAAACTGCCATGCAACACAGTCCTGAAGTCACACATCGGGTTATCCTTATTTGATATTTATGTATTTATTTATTTATTTTTTTTGAGATGGAGTTTCGCTCTTGTTACCAGGCTGGAGTGCAATGGCGTGATCTTGGCTCACCGCAACCTCCGCCTCCTGGGTTCAGGCAATTCTCCTGCCTCAGCCTCCTGAGTAGCTGGGATTACAGGCACGCACCACCATGCCCAGCTAATTTTTTTGTATTTTTGGTAGAGACGGGGTTTCACCATGTTGACCAGGATGGTCTCGATCTCGGCCTGATACTTATTTTTTAAAATGTAAGCTATCAAAAAGCAAGTTAGTATCAGGAAATTTTTAAAAAGAAGCAAGTTTAAGGGCCTTCCTGAGGTCTTTCTCCACCCATTACTATGTCTCATACTTGATGCATCTAAAATTACATCTGTCCTGGGCAGTGACTGAAGTTCACAAAATGGCCTTGCATCATCAAGTAAAGTTAAGTGGACGCTGCTTACCTAAGCACAGAGGTGTGTCAAATATTTCCTTAAAAACAACTTAGTATTCCCAAGAACAAAAACTACTTTGTGTTGAGCATTTATTATATTCTGTATACTATACTATGAGTTTTACAGAAATTATCTAAATTAACTTTTACAGAAGCTTTATGAGGTTAGTAATTATTACCGCTATTTTATAGATGAGGAAACTGAGGCTCAGAAAATCAGTTACAAAAGCTATATATATTTTTTGGTAACTGAAAAATTCAGTTACCAAAGCCTCTTAACTACTGTGTTACTCGTTTCTCTATGTATTATTAGTTAAAGCATTTGATTTCAGGAATTTGAAAATTTCCGTTGTGTGAAATAGCTCCTTTCAGTTCCTAAAGAACGCAAGATAAAAACTAGGCATTCATTAATTTTATTCAGTAGCAAAAGTACTTGGAAATAAATTTTGGAATTTTTCAGCTCATGCCTTATTTGGTACTGGACATTCTACAAGATTATCCAGGACTTCCTGGACTTTTTGTGGCCTGTGCTTACAGTGGGACGTTAAGGTATGAACTATGACTCTAATAACACATGATTTCCCTGTTGGGATCTTTCTTTTCTTATTAGATATTTTAGGGGAATAATGTTGAGTTCTGGGCATGGACACAGATGGCCCAAAGTAGGCAATCTGCTGCATGTGTCCTTTATGTGGTCTGACTTATCTCTGTGGACTAGCATCCTGTTGTCATCAGCTCCACTTTTAACTGGGTCCTTGCTCTCTAACACACCATCACACATCCTACGATGTGATACCCTGTGGTCACAATAATGATGACTGGTTGATGGTAGCTTTCACTGATGATCACAAATGGGTGCCACAGCCTTGATTGAAAACACACATGCGGCTGAAGCATGGTCAACTGGAAAATTAGACTGAAATCTTCCATTTACATGTTGAATAATATATACTGTCCAAAGAATCTTACGTTTTGTGATCTATCATTACCCTTTTTTCTTGTGTTTGTTCCAGAGAATTGTTAATATCAACATGTACATTGTGTGTTAGTGAGGACTCAGGAAATTAACATTATCAATGTTTACAGCATATGGTAGCGAGGACTTAACGACAGTCCTTTCTATACACAAAGAAAAATGTGTTTTAAAGTTGTTATGTGTAGTAATATGGAGTAATCTACGTAGATTCTTTTCCTAGACACCGAGGATTAACTGCAAGTGGAAGCAACGTTAATACATCCTTTCTCTTTTACTGTCAAGCCTATAGACATTGCCTGAATCATTCTTGGATGATAACAGTTTCTAGAAAGACAGTTCTGTGTTTATTAAAAATAGCATAGTAGAAATCAGGTTATATTTTGGAAGTGACAGTTTGTTTCCCCTTTCTTATTTTCACTTAAAGTATTACTAAAGGTAAAATACTATAAACCGGAAGTTTTATTTTCCCTTACAGCACAGTGTCCTCCAGTATTAATGCCTTAGCAGCAGTAACCGTGGAAGATCTAATCAAACCTTACTTCAGATCGCTCTCAGAAAAGTCTCTGTCTTGGATTTCCCAAGGAATGAGTAAGTTTCTGTTTTCACAATTCCATTTTAGCTCAGAGAGATGATTTTTTTTGAGACACAAAAAATTTGTTTCCACTGAAGCTACAGAGGAAGAACCTCTGAGCATGAATGTATATCCACATATGTATGCCTATGACTTAATGCAGCCGTTTTTTGAATGTTTGTATCAATGTTTCATGTTATTATGTTTGTAATCAAGATTTGGGAGACACTTCAAAAAATTGATTGTCAGTGAACCACAAAGGACAATTTCCAGAGGATCGATTTGGCTGTCCTTTTTTTCCTGGGACTTTGTCTTCTCCTAAATTTGTGTTAAAATTCTTAGCCACACACACAAGAAAATTCAACTATTTTCCTTTTCAACTATAGTTCACAGTTCCAAGAAATATGCCTAGTTTGGAACCAAGAGCCATACTTTTTCTACGTTACCTAAGAGGGCACTGTCAGTTTGAGTTACATAGTCTTCCCAAATATAAACACTTCTCAAATGTTTATGGAGAATTAGATTAATAGATTAGATAAATTGAAAATAAAAAAACAGAGTGTTGCAACTTTTGAATTGTCTTAATGTTCTGTTCTGTCTGCTTATGTACACTGTCCTGGAGATGATCTATAAAATTGTGCAAGAAATTCTCAACTTCTGTTCTGTTCAATTATAGAGGCTTATTAGGGGTTAAATACCAGGTTGAATAGAGTGGTTTAAGTGTCTTCCATTCCCAGATGTCTCAAATGTAATATCCAACTCAACAAAATCTTGCCAATGCACTTCATTCTTCATTTTGACACCTTGAAATGAATGATTAACAAATTCCTTTTTGAGAAAGAATCTTTAACTTCAATACAATAACATTAATAGACTGTCAAAGAAATAGTAAATTATACCCTATTAGGAGCCATAATTCTATATAAAGTTGCCATGACTGTAGCCTGGAATGAGTACTTAATTTATATATTTCAGTGTTCCCTAAATTTAAATAGCAATGCATCATTTTATTATGTACCCAATTTTAATCCTGAGCATAATTTCAGAATGATACAATGCTTCCTAAAGTGTTTTTAGATTGGCTCATGACTGGATTATTGAAGCTGTGTGGTTTAGTAGAATGAATAGATGCTTTTGAAGCCAGACAAACCCAATCTTGCTTTGTTAATTTACTAGCTGTTAGCCTTAGAAAATCCAGATACCCATACAAGCCTCTCTTTCTCTATGGAAAATGGGCACACAAATACTTTGCAGAATTGGGTTTTGAGATAATGCATATAAAACAGGAGGCACTAGCTGGTGCTCATAGGAATGATGTTGATGATGAATGACAAGTGAACTCTGGTAATATAGATGAGATTTTCATTCATTTTAAAGGGTGCTATGAAATCATAATCTTGAGGTATGTGCAGTAAGGACATAGAGAAGAATGTGGCAGATGACTTGTGTGTGTTTCCAATAACTTAGAGTTCCCAAAACTATAATGGTGACTATTCATGACCCATTAAATGGAGAAGAATCAAGCCAAATATATTGAAAATATTGTTTACATTAAAATTTAGAAGCATAAAAATCATAGCATTGAGAACTCTTTGAAAAAATTAATTTAAGATTTTTCATTCAGGTGCATTATTTACTCAATATATTTAACAAAGGTAGCAGTGCTAAAATAAGAGAAATAGCATAATGTAAGGAATACAAAAATTTTATGACGGGCAAATTTCCCATTCATTTTTTTCTGTTTATTGAGTTTTGCATTTGGGAAATTGCCTCAACTCATTTCAGGTGACCTTTTCGAAGTGAACTATTAAAGGGATTTTTGCATGATATTTCCTATAATTTTAAAAGTAATACGTGTACCTGGAGAACACTTGGAAAATATTGAAAGTCCATAGAAAAAAATATTCCACAATCTGACCACCAGTGGTGGCTTGAGAACTTTTATAAAAAAGTTTGGGATGGGCGTGGTGGCTCATGCCTGTAATCCTAGCACTTTGGGAGGCTGAAGTGGGAGGATTGCTTGAGCCCAGGAGTTCGAGATTATCCTGGGCAACATAGCAACGTCCAGTCTCTATAAAAAAAATAAATAAAGAAGCTTAGGGAAAACAAGTTAGCAGAATGGCAGACGTGCTACTTGTCCAGAAGTTGTCTTTCTTTGCTAGTTTAGTTGGAAGGGCTTGATGATACTGGTGGAGATTTTGAGGGGGCTGAAAGTCCTCCAACACCCGATGGTATCCACTGCCACTTCCCAAGGGAAATAAATGCTTAAAGTCAGAAGAGTCTAATTTCTGTTTATTACTCCCTCTCCCACCTTGTATTGTATTCTACTTTTGGCAAGCTGAAAACAGATACCTGAGCCTTCCTCTCTATCCAAATGTTTATGGAGGATTAGATTAACAATACAATATAGTTCTTAGTTTTAAAATCCCTATAGTTAATTCCAGGAATCCTTTACTTATATAACCTACTGCTGTAACTAATCCTGGGACACAATGTAAGGGCTTTGTTTGTCTTCTTGGCACACTGCTGATCCCAGAGGAAAACAGCCCTTCCCATTGTTCACTGGCTCTGATGTATGTGGCCATTCTTCACCACAGATATATTATTTACTTTGAATCAAAGGTGTGGTGGATTACTCTATTGAGGATTCTGATTTTCTGGGTCTGGATTTTACACTGGCTTTTATGTTATTTATTTAGGTGTGCTGTATGGAGCCCTGTGTATTGGAATGGCTGCACTGGCATCACTTATGGGAGCTTTGTTGCAGGTGAGAGCTGACTCCTGGGGGTTTAAGTCATAATTACTAAATCTTTTTTTAATGTTGATGTGACCATTCTTCCAGACTTCTGTCAATACATATAGACACCTGGACATATCAAGTGGCAGAGATGAATACATTTAAAAAAATTTTTTTTAATTAAACTTTCTGTTTTTAGGTAATTGTGGATTTACATGCAATTGTGAGATATAACACAGAGAGATCCCATATACTCTTTACTCTGTTTCCCTCAATGATAACATCTTGCAGTGGTAACATCTTGATAGTACAATATCAAACCCATATATTGACATTGATATAACCAAGATACAGACATTTCCATCACCACAAAAATCCTTGCTGTTGCCCATTTGTAGACATACCCACTTCCCTTCTGATCTCACTCCCTCCTTAATCCCTGGCAACCACTAATCTGTTTTTGACTTCTATAATTTTGCCAGGTCAAGATTGCTACATAAATGGACTTACATAAAACGTCACCTTTTTCACTTGGTATAATGTGAAATAATCTGTTGTCATTAATCTGTTCTTTTTAATTATTAGATAGTATTCTCTAGCAGAGATGTATCACTGTTTGTTTACCTACTCACATGATGAAGGACATCTAAATTGTTTCCAGTTTTTGAGGATTACAAATAAATCTGTTACAAACATTTATGTACAGATTTTTGTATGAGCCTAAGTCTTCATTTCTCTGGGATAACTACCCAGGAGTGCAATTGTCAGGTGATTGCTAAATGTCTACTTTTGAAAGAAACTGCCAAACTATAATTCCAGAGTGTGCCATTTTTATATCACTAGCCCAGTGTAAAAGACAAGTGGCCCAGTGTAAACGTCAATCTTTTCAGCATTTAGTGGTCACCCAAACTAGAGTGCCATGGCGCAGTCTCAACTCACTGCAACCTCTGACTCCCAGGTTCAAGCGATTCTCCTGCCTCAGCCTCCCAAGTAGCTGGGATTACAGGCATGCACCACCATGCCTAGCTAATTTTTGTATTTTTAGTACAGACAAGATTTCACTATGTTGGCCAGGCTGGTCTTGAACTCCTGACCTCGAATGATCTGCCCACCTTGGCCTCCCAAAGTGCTGGGATACAGGCATGAGCCACCTCATCTGGCCCTGGTGTCATTTTTTTATTTTAGCCATTCCGATAGGCATGTAGTGATAACTCATTGTAGTTTTAATTCGTATTTCCCTAATGGCTAATGATGTTAAGAATGTTTTTCAGATATTTATTTTTCATCTATATACCTTCTTTGATACATTATCCCATAATGTCTTTTGTTCACGTTCTAATTCAATTGTTTGCTTTTTTTCTGTTGAGTGTTGAGTGTTTTTTATGTATTCTTTATACTAGCTCTTGGTCAGATGTGGTTTTCAAATATTTTCTTACACTGTGGTTTGTCTTTTTATCCTCATAACAAGGTCTGTCAAAGTCCAGTTTTTTTTTTTTTAGTTTGGATAAAGTCTAGTTTATCAATTTGTCTTTTTGCAGATTGTGTTTTTGGTGTAAGTCTAAGAACTTTACCTAGCCCCAGATCTTGAAGATTTTCTTCTATGTTTCTTTTCAAAGAGTTTTAGAGTTTCATATTTTATATTTAAGCCTAAAATCCCTTTGGAGTTAATTTTTATATAAACTGTGCGACTTAGGTTGACATTCTTTTTTCTTCTGTTGATGATCAACCAGCACCATTTGTTGAAAAGGCTACCTTTCTTCCATTGACTTGCCTTTACACTTTTGTAAAAATTCAGTTGGGTATATTTGCGTGGATCTATTTCTGAATTCTCTGTTCTCTTCCACTTATTTGTGTGTCTGTACTACTGCTAATACCACACAGATTTACAATTTTATAATTTTGATTACTGTAGCTTTAAAATAAGTTTCAAGATCAGGTGGATTGATTTCTCTCACTGTATTCTTACTTTTCAAAATTGTTTTAGCTATTCTAGTTCTTTTGCCTTTCCATATGAAATCTAGGATAATCTTGTCTGCATCTACAAAAAAATCTTGCTTAAATTTAGATTGCCTGAAAGCTGTTTATCCATTTGAGAAGAAATGATGTCTTTACTATGTTGAAGTTTCTAAAACGTGAACATGGTTTGTCTCATTTATTTAGCTTTTCTATGACTTTTTTTTTAACATCATTGTATAATTTTCAGTATTCAAGTCCTATATATGTTTAGCAAGATTTATGTCCAAATCTTTTATTTTGTTTCTTAGTGAATGCAAATCATATTTTTCATGTTGGTGTCTATGTGTTCATTGCTAATATATAGAAATAAAATTGATGTTTTTATATTTATCTTGTATTTTGTGACCTTGCTGAGCTCACATATTAGTTCTCAGAGTTTTTTGTTTCTTGGTTTTATGTTTTGGCATATTCTTTGAGATATTCTACATGAACAGTCATGTTATTTTTGAATAAGGGCAGTTTTATTTCTTTCCTTCTGATCTGTATATGCCTTTTATTTCCTTATTGCACTGGCTTAAACTTCCATAGAAGTAGTGAGACCGGAAATCCTTACCCAGTTCCCAAATGTGAACAGGAAGTTCTATTCCTATTCCCTATTCCTATTTTTTTTCTGAGAGTTTTCACCATAAATGGGTGTTGAATTTTGTCAAATGCTTTTTCTGTAATTAATGTATCTGATCACATGATTTTCTTCTTTAGCCTACTTAGATGGTGGATTACGTTGGTTGGTTTTTTAATGCAGAACCAGCCTTGCATACCGGGAATAAACCTTGTTTGGTCATGGTGTGTAGTTATTTTTATATATTGCTGAATTCTATGTGCTGATATTTTATTAAAGATTTTTACATCTATATTTATGAGGGATATTGATCTGTAATGGCGTGTATGTGTGAGTGAGTGTGTGTGTGTGTGTGTGTGTGTCTACTGCCTTTAGTTTTGATAGCAGGGTTATAGTAGCTTCATAAAATAAATTGGGAAGGGTTCTGTTTTCTATTTTCTGGGAGAGACTGTCTAAAACTGATGTCAGTTATTTCTTAATTATTTGGTAGAATTCTCTAGGGAAAGCATCTGGGCCTGGGTTTTTTTTTTAGTTTTAAAATGATGAATTTAATTTCCTTAATAGTTATAGAGCTATTCAAATTATCCATTTCATATTGGATGAATTGTGACAGTTTGTGTTTTTGAGAAATTGTTCTATTTTATCTAAGTTTGCAAATTTACACATATATAGTTGTTCATAGTATTTGTGTACTATCATTTTGATATCTGCAGGACTTGTCATGATATTCCCTGTTTCATTCCTAATATTGGTAATTTATGTCTTATTTTTTTCAGTCTTGCTACAGGTTTGTCAATTTCATTGATGCTTTCAAAGAACCAGCTTCTTTTTTTCACTGATTTTTCTGTCTTGTTTTTCTGTTTTGCTCTTTGTTTTTTTACTTTTATCTTTATTATTTATTTTCCCTTTCTTGTTTTGGGTTTTAATTTGCTGTTCTTGGGGTGGGATCCTAGGTTATTGATTTGAATATTCTCCTATTTTCTAATGTGTGCATTTATTGCTGAAAATTTCCTTCTTGGCACTAGGTTAGCTGTGTTCCACAGCTTTTGATATCTTGTATGTTTGTTTACATTGAGCTGAATATATTTTTGATTTTCCTTTGAGATATTCTTTTGACTTATTGATTATTTAGAAGTATGTTACTTAGTTTGCAAGTATTCAGAGATTTTTTTTTTTTTTTTTTTTTAAGACGGAGTTTCACTCTTGTTACCCAGGCTGGAGTGCGACGGCATGATCTCGGCTCACTGCAACCTCCACCTCCTGGGTTCAGGCAGTTCTCCTGCCTCAGCCTCCTGAGTAGCTGGGATTACAGCTAATTTTTTGTATTTTTAGTAGAGACAGGGTTTCACCATGTTGACCAGGATGGTCTCAATCTCTTGACCTCGTGAGCCACCTGCCTCGACCTCCCAAAGTGCTGGGATTACAGGCTTGAGCCACCACGCCCAGCCCGTATTCAGAGATTTTTTTGTCATCTTTCTGTTACTGATTTTTCTAGCTTGATTCCATTGTGATCAGAGAACACACTCTGTATGATTTCAGTTCTTTTAAACTTGTTGAGGTCTGTTTTCTAACCCAGGATATGGTATTTTGGTATATGTTCCATGGGCACTTGAAAAGAATGTGTATTCTTTTTTTATTGGGTAGAGTCTTCTATAATTATCAATTAAATTGCATTTGTTGATGGTTGCTGAGTTTCTGTTTACTTGTTTTATCAGTTGTTGAGAGGGGGTGGTGAATTCTCCAACTATAATTGTGTATTTGTCTATTTCCCCTTTAATTCTATCAGTTTTTGCTTTGCTTCATGCATTGGATCTTATTGAAGGATTAACCTTTTTGTTTTTATATAATGTCCCTATCTGTCTCTGAGAAATTTTTTTGCTGTGAAGTCTATTTATCTGATATTAATATAGTTATTTATACATTCCATTGATTAATGGTTGCATGATATATCTTTTTCAATCCTTTCACTTTGGCCCTGCCTGTGTTGCTATATTTTAAGTGAGTTTTTTTGTGCATAGCACATAGTTGAGTCTTTTTAAAAAATCCATCCTGTCAGTGTTTGTCTTTTCATTAGTGTATTTAAACCATTCATATTTAATGTAATTATTGGTATGTTATATTAAGGTTTAAGCATCATTTTTTTGGTTTTCTGTTTGGTATTTCTGTCTTCTGTTTTCTGCCTTCCTGTGAGTTGCTTGAACAATTTTTAGAATTCCATTTTGATTTATCTATATTATTTTGAGTTAATCTCTTTGTATAGCATTTTTAGTGATTCTTTTAGGTATTACATTATACATATATAACTTATTAGTGGTTTTGTCATTTTACCAGTTTAAGTAAACTATAGAAACCTTACCTCTCTTTATGCCCTTTAACCCTTCCTTATTTATAATATAGTTATCTTAGATATTTCCTTCACATACATTCAGAATTATATCAGAGAGTATATAATGTT